AAGATGCTCGATCTGTCGTCCAACCATATCGTTGTACTCGAACCACACTCGCTGCAAGAACTCGTCAACGTGACCGAATTGAATCTGTCCAATAATTCACTCACCGAACTACACTCACGAGCCCTTTCGGGCTTGGTGAATCTTCAGACGTTGACACTATCGCATAACCGATTACGACATCTCAGCAATGATGCTCTCAAATCGCTGAGTAAACTTCGCAAACTCGATCTCAGCCGAAACTTAATCTCCGTGGTAAGACAGAAGCGAATTCAATTTTGTGGTGCCTTTACAATTCCTCCCAAATTGATGGTTCGATAAGAGCATTTAGGAGCCTTTCCATTGAATGCGAGCAATTTTAGTGGTTCACTTAACTGCTTTTTCAGATATCAACCGGAGCATTTTCAACACAATCATCACTTTTGCACTTGGATTTGGGCTCGAACGTTATATCTTCATTATCTGAATACTCTTTGATGGGGCTCAACTCAATTCAACATCTTAATATGAGCAACAATATTGTGAGTTATTATCCGATTTTTTTCCAAAAAATTACTCCGCGCATTGAGATGCGAGCAGCTGTATAGTTCAGCCATGCAGTGAACAAATGGGATTATCCAAATAGGGCATTCATAAGCAGAGTGCACGCATCCGTTACATTTTTTATTTATGTAATCCTATTTCATTTATGAAGCTAATTTTAAGCTCCGAATTTCTTTGTCACATATATTTTAACACTTTCTGGATTTATATCAAATTATGTCACATTTACTTTAACACAATTTATGGTTTGTTCTGGGCACCAGATTTTGGACATTTAAGTGATATTCTGTGAGCATTGGAAAATTATATTAAATCGGCCTGAAATCATCTTCGCCTTCGAATCATCAATAATATACCACTAATATCTCAATGAGCATGTTGTTTTCCCGTTCGTGTTCATCAAATTCAGTAAATATATTCATACTAAATTCAGGTACATAAAGTTTCATCATTGTATATACGATCGCTGACAACGCTAGAAGTGATCGATCTATCGTGGAATTCAATAACGGCCATTGGAACATCATCGTTCGATGGACTCACTTCGTTAAGATGCTTAATCCTGTCTCATCAACAAACTCTTCGTGACATACATGTAAGTTTCATAGCAAACTTGCTGAATGCTCGAGTATATGTTCTACAGATTTGAGCAAGTAGAACAATGCTTGACAAGGGATAGACTGATGAATTCTTGAGCTTAACTGATCAGCTGATGAGAACGATCGCAAAAATATGCCAACTGATAAGTCGTGATTACGATATGGCAAGTCATTGATGTTTAACGTTAAAAGTACGTTCCGTAAACAGCAGTTTCAATGCATCTATCGTTTCATTTGCGCACAGAGAGATCCTCCGGAATTGATTGGTTTAATCGGAGCACCAAATTATATTATAAGTTCACGTGATGCCATCAATAATATATTTTTGAAATTTGAAACTTCACGCAGAACTATCGAAAAGTTGATTTTCTCCGTCTTTTGTTGTGTTTTTAGCGAACAGAGAATAATTAAATCAATTGCTTGAATTTTATTATGTTGATAGTGACTCAAGGATCACAGAAAGGCGTTAGTGTATGTGATGGTGGAGTGTAAAATGAATTTCAGCTGAACGCGTTTTCTGGTCTAAATTCTCTATCGGAATTGGATTTATCCTCGTGTCGGAGTCTGTCGTCGATTCACAGAAAAGCTTTCGAAAGCAGTACTCAGCTTCGTTCACTAGACATCAGTCGGTGTGCACTCCGTTCACTTCCACCAATGCTTTTGAACTGGAATCGGTATGTTGATAACGACCACTATCCTTCAACACAAATAAATCTCATTATGTAGTTTGAAAACAAGCGGGATCTGTAGATCATTTTAGCATTCGAATCCTCACTAATAATTTGTAAAATCTTCAACTGTCGATTACTGTTTACCAGTGAAACAAATCAGTGATGGTCGTTCATTTAAAGAAAATAATTTGTTTTCTGTTCCAATCAGGTTGACCACTTTCGAGCTTTATGGTAATCCGTTCGAGTGTAATCGTGAACTGCTTTCATTTCTGCCGAGATTGCTGAATAAATTACAAATTCACACTGCTTCTTGTTCATCTCCAGACGAGCTACGCGATCGAGATATAGCCTCACTGGTGAGTTATAGTATATATTCCGTCAATTCTCTAGAACATCTGATGATGAGAGAGAGCTGTCCTATGCAGGCGCATTTTTTCTCTATAGCAGCGAAACTCCCACACAGCAAATCCCATCACATTTTTATCACTCACTCAGTTCAATTCCATTTTATGATTGCACTCATCACCACCATCATCAGTATTCCCTGTTAACTCGTCATCACCGCGCGATTATCCGAATGAGCGTATTTTGGGTAACCTATTTAGCTGCCGTGCCAGTTCAAATGGTTGATTCTAGTTCATTCGTAACCTGAACGTAATCATATTCCACTTCACTTCACCGTTTCCCCGAAATCAGAATAAGTGAACGAGATGACTATTGTGTCGTCATTTCCCTAATATTATTTCCAGGAAACATTGATGTTGACAATGAATGAATGGGAAGTGACTCTAATAATAGTATGTA